GCAAAGATGAGACAAGTTTTAAATATTTACAATAGCCGTAAACAAAAAGGTTTGGGAAACCACTCCCCCGAAGAAATGAAAAACAACCCTGACTTAGAGAAAGACTATATATTTAATAGTTTAGTCAAAAGAGACAAACAAGAAAGAATGCCAGGCTTCAAACTTAAGAAAGGTGACAAAGTAAAATAGAAATACCTAAACGCGACCCATATGAAAATACTATTGACTATGACAACAATGGGAACTCGACAGGTACTCACGTTCGTGTTCGTAAAAATAGAAGAAAGTATACAAGAGAATATTATGAAGTTTTAGGCAAACATGGCAAAATGTACAGACTGCAAGCAGAAGATAAAACTACTATTGTCAGACCTCGTTTCAAACTTGTCAAAGTTCAAGGTGGTATACTTTCAAAGACAGTTCCTAACAAATATAAGACAACTCCTGACGAATATGCTAAAGAAGTTGAAAATGACGACTAAGCAATTCTATACCATGCGTAAACTGTCATGTAAGGTGGCATGTAGTCTTTACTTTGTCCCGTTGTTTGCGTATATCCTGAAACGAAATGTGTATGGTTTCCTTTCCCTGAGTGTCATCCAGTAACAATTTATAGCAAACTTAACGTCGTCTTTAACATCATATCCTTTACCTTTTGTCATTCCTGTCCAATCCCAATATCTATGCTTATGCCAACCTGCTTCAGCTGTAGTTAAATTTATGTAATGACTGTGTGCAGGTAAGTTTTCACCTGAAATCGTTTTACTTCCACCTGTTTCCTTTGAAGAGTTTGCACAATACAAAAACCTGTCGACTATTTGAGTCAAGTTCCGAGACCAAGTACTACTTCTGGTCTGGTAGAGTTCATTGACGTGTAAATAGAACCTATAGGATATATTGTTTGAAGTATTTCTGTCTTTAATGTTTGAAGCTCTGTTTTGTCTGCTTTTTTATATAACTTTTCTTCAAGTTCATTTACGTCAGAGATGCTATGTCTATGATATTTTTGTGGGTATGTTCCTTCTGTCCATGCGAAAATACGTTCTTTTGTTGCATCTACATATCCTTTTATCCATGTCGAGTCTGCTTTTGTATTCCTTAACTCTGTAACACCTTTCTCAAGCTCTTTCAACTGTTGTCCATCTTCCATTAAACCTCTGGTATGACTTGAAACCGTTTGTGCCAACATATCTACAGTTTCTTTGTCGGCTTTAAGGTCTAAACATCCTGAAACCCACCCTGTATTGGCTTTACCTTCTAAAATCTTCGATGTCCGTTCATTATACCATTCAACCATTTTTTTAATTTCTTCATCTTTTTCATCCACATATTCCTTATCTGCCTTCTTCACTAACACACTAGCCATAAGTCCCTTATCTACTTTCTCCTCTAACTCACTGTTGACATATGTTTTGTCAGCTTTCTTTTCAAGGCTAACGTTTAAGTCTGTTATTTCAGATATAGAATGTGTATGTCCAACGTCACTTTTCCTGTTTAAGGTTTCTTGTAAGTTTGTAATATTTGCAATGGTATGTGTATGAGTCTTTTTAGAATATTCTTTGTCAGCTCTTGTCACTTCACTTGACATTTTATTGTCAACATATGTTTTGTCTGCTAGTTCAGGATGAGTATGTTCTTTCGTTGCATATGTTGCATCTGCTCTGTCATGTTCTTCTTGAACTTTTTCAATGACATACTCTTTGTCAGCTTTGTTGTCAACATCTGCTTTCAAAAGAAGTTCTTTTATAGGCTTCTCGTTTAAAGTTCCTTTTGTTGGATTTACACAGACAGTATGGTTCTTACTGTCTTGAAACAGAAACTCATCTGTCATTGGTTTATCGTCAGTTTTAAGTTTCCTTCTTTCAATGACTCAGATATCTTAGAATAGTTTGAAAAGTTTGTTGTGTTCTTATTTAGAGCTTGCAAAATGAGTTGTCGGTTGTGTTGTATTTCTCTCATAGACGCTGTTTCTTTCGACATTTTTATTCTAGATAAAATATGCTTTCAATAGAAAAAGAAAATTCAAGAGTTGCTACAACTAAACCATTAGATGAACTTTTTACGAATGTCGGTCAAAAGTTTGAGACAGAGACCGTAAAGCATGAAGGCTATCGTTTTGACTACCCATTAAGATGGCTAAGAGACCCATCTGTCACAAAAGCTATTGGCTTTCGTAGAATGAAGTTTGTGTCTGTAGAAGATAAAAGTTTTCCATTTATTGTAAGGTTTCATATAGATTATATATCTGAAGGGAAACGAAAAATGTGGGAAGAAATTGAGCTAATACAAGTTGACCTTTCATCTTCTCTACAGACTGCGTTAAAAAATATAGAAGATAAAATAAATTCATGTTATGCAAAATATGCTGATGAATATGCAAATACCGAGAGCACACTTTATGTGAGAATTGTATATGACAAACAAAATTCACAAGTGTCATTTCAAATCTACGAAGACAATCCAAAGAAAGACGAACAAATATATACAGAATTCACTGCAATGTCATGGTATTATTTGCAAAGAATGTTAAATCAGAAAGTCGAACTTCCTTTAGCAAATATTTACAGTCGATATGCAAGAGATGAACCATATTTATTTAAAGATGTTTTCGACTCAGATGCTATTATAGTTCATGCTTCATTTTCTGGTGCACAAAACTCTTTTTTATGCTTGGCAAATGACTTTTACGAAAAACCTACAAAGCTATACGAACCACCAAGTGGAAGTATTTCAGACTTTCAAGTATGGTTTACTACAGATGGAAGAAAGAGAATAATTCCATTATACACGCGTTTTACTTAGAACTTAGTTTCATATACAACTACTATCGAACGGTAAAAATATAATTTTAATACGGTTGAGGTGTTGGATTTGGTTGCCAACTTGACTGTGGTGCAGGTTCAGGCTGTTGTATAACAGGAGCTTGTTCTTCTGGTTCAGGGTCTTTAGGTATAATACCAACGAACTGACCTACTCTTTTACCAATATTTTTGACTCCGTTCCAAATTCCTCTTCCTACGGTTTTTATTCCATTCCATATACCTCTTCCAACATTTCGAAAGAAGTTTCCAATACTACTGAAGAAACCCATTTTACTATATGTAAAAATCTAATGTCCACCTAGTCTCTTACGTTTCCTGTTGAGTTCCATAGCATTCTTTAACTGGAGCTCATACATTCTATTTCTCCTCTGGTAGAAAACATACTCTGGGTCAACTCCTGTGTTCGCGTCATCTGCATAGAGTTGTTTATATCCCACTTCGGGGTTTGTATAAAACTCTTTCCATCTCATATTTGCATACCATGGTGGTAAGCCTAACGCAGCGTCATTTGACATGGCAGTTTGCATTTGTACATCTGTTGGCACTTGACCATAGTTTGCCATTGCAGTTTGTATTCTAACTTCATTTGGAATATTCTCTGGGTTTGGTTGTCCAGGTTGCTGTGCATTTGCTAAGTTCTGTGCGTCCATTTAATATTAGATAAAAATATCTCTTACGAGTACATATACTGAACATTTGCAGGCATTGGTTCATCTTCATATTCTCTGTACTTTTCTGCCACGTCAAATAAATAAATGACACAATGGAAAAACCTAAAACAAGTAGTCCTATTTCAAACCACATTTACTTACTAGTAAAATTTCTTTGTTATGACACTTTCTCCAGTTTATAGGACCTCTCTCATATTCTATCTTATCGTATCTAAACTCATAGTCATGTATGTCCTCTAACCATCTCATGACACTTTCCAAACCACTTTTATCGGATGTAAAGTAAAAGCATGGATGGTTATGTAAAACGTCTAAAGTTTCTAAAGAGTCTCTCAAAGTCCAGTCTACTTGGTATTGAAAATCCCATGTGTTATAGAACGGCGGGTCTACTATAAAGAAAACATTTTCCTTGTCTTTATATTTTTCATACAAATCTGTCCAATGACATCTCACAAACTCTATACCCTCAATATATTTTTCTATGTCCTCTTTGAAAACATTTGTATAGTTAAGATATAAAACTTTTGACATAAGTGTTTCAATGTCATGAACTCTTATAGCACCACTATATAATAGTCTAGCAGATATACTATCCCAGTCTATATATTCTGCTTTTTTCAAAACCTCTCTGACAGTATTTTTCTTATCTAATGGTATACGTTCCATCTTACCTATAGGTATCTTTTCTTTCAACTCACTCAATATTTTGTTTGTGTCTGGTATATGTTTGAGACGGTTCATATAGTTGTCGAAGTCATTGCATATAATCTTTGAGTCTGGGAATATTGTATGGCACAGATGGGATATATAGAAACTTCCACCGAACAAATCTACAAATGTTAGACCATTCGGTAGTTTCTTAAGTTCTCTCAATAGAATATCTTTACATCTACTCTTATTTCCAAAGAAGGGTAACGGTGGTTTTGTAAAATTCATTTTATATACAATAAAAATGTTTTTTTCCTGAAAAGTGACAGAAAAGTGACAAAACATTTACGAAGAAATCTTGAAAATTCAAGAGGGTAGAAAAGAGGTTAGAAAAGAGGTTATATCTAACCTTCTACCCTAAACATTATTTTTGTCTGATTTTACGAAGAAGTCTTGACAAAACATGAAAACATATATAATTTGTGAAAAGCTCCTGGAAGACCCGTATATAAGAACTTCATTTATACTAAACATCTTCAGGGCTAGAAGGCACGAAGTGCCTGGAAGCCCCACTACCTTTTTTTTTTTTTTTTTTTTTTTTTTTTATATTCATAAAGATTTTCCAAAAATATGATACCGCAAAATTAAAAAAGTGACGTCTTGAGTGGAGTCAAAGGTCGAAATTGCTAGCTAAATGTTTTTTTAGCGAAATTGCGTATTGTACGTTTTTTTCGCAAAACGAAACCCTTACATATATTTATTATTCCTAAATATTCAAATTATCTCTGATGGTTTTGTGATTTTTATAAATAAAATTCGAAATCAAAATTACAAACAGAAATTTTTACAAACACTGATATTACTTCATTTCAGGTTCAATGTAGGTGAGATTGGAAAAATCAATTCCTGGAAGATTGCCTCTTCTGAGAATATTAAAACCACTTGGGATATGATCTTTATATCTATTCAAGAAGTTATTAACCTTCTCATATGTTTGATTAGTTTGAGGTTCAAGTGTCTTTTGTTCGCTAAGCTTCACTTTCCGTATTTTCTTTAACTTTGTCTCATGAGAAACTGGTTTAGTTGGCTCTTGTTTATCATTTTGTAACAGAATTCCCATGAAGTAAATTCGCCTCTTCGTGCCTTTATCAACTTTCTTCTGCATGCAATAAAAAATATAATTTGAAATTCAAATAGTATAGCGGTTCGCAAGAATTTTCAGATTCAAATTCTAATAATGATAAAATAACTTTACAAGCTAATATTTAAGAAAAATTTTTATTCCTTGAATAATTTTGAATTGAGTACTCTGGCAAAATCATTTTTCAAAAATTTGAAATTACAATTAGAGACAATAATACAATATCAATCATCCTACGGGAATCTGAACGTCAGATGCCAATTTGCCAAATGATTGAGATAGCAAAATTGTCATCTGCTGTCAGTTTGACAATCAATCGGATTTATGATTTTAGAATTTATAAGCATATTTTTGTATCTCGCTCTGGGATTAATAATAAACTTTGTAGCTCAATTTTATCGTTTTTGATTTTGACAAAATCATTTGCAAATGATGCACTCAATCATCAATTTGTGAGTCAAGCTACTCACATTGATCATAAAATTATTTCCGATCTTGATTGGTAGGATTTTGTTTATTTTTTTAAAAAAATATCGATGTTATTATTAAAATTGATTGGAACAAATGATGAACGAATTAAATACTATCTTATTGCGTTCATAATTATATACTTTAAAAAACAAATTGTATTAATTTACGATATAAAAAATTTAAAATATTGCATTTGAGTCACATGACTCATAAATTATGATTTTAATTTAAGAGAAACAGTTGTCCATACACATCTTGGTCATCTGGGAAGAAATTGATTTCAAAATATAAATATAATATTTAGTTTTGGTACATAAGAATAAAGTGATTCGATATTATCCCATGTGGTTATGAATCTAAAACTTTAAAAATCAAAAATCTTCAAATTGGGATTTTTCGGGTTTATTGATAATATATTAAGAATACAGAGTGTAAAATTAAAGATTACAATTCCAAAGATTATCATTTCCACAAAATATTCGAGATTCATTTAATAAAAAATAGATCTGATTGATTTTCCATAGAAATTTGGTATGCAATTCTTTGTTCTCGGTGATTTCTTTATAAATCAATGAGAATTACAATGTCATATTTTGAACGAATGTCATTTATGCCTTATGCTTAAATTAGGAAATACATCTTGCATTACCACAATTAATATGAGTTAATTTTTGTGACACAAACACATTCGAACTTAAATTTTTTATTGGAAAAATTATAATGATAAAAATGCTTAGACTCATCAGAATTACACATAAATCAAATAATGTTTATCATCCTTTATATATCAGAGATAATTATTACTGTTTAAGATATTCATATATCAATATTGAACATTTCGTGAAGGATATGCATCTTACATGTAATGTTTTCGGTATTTAATCATATTTGCATTGTTATTATAAGAACCTTTTGTATTTTAACTTAAATTCATTATTATTCTCAAATATTTATTGATTCGTGATATAAAATGTGTAGCCAAGCATATGTTATGGAATATAAGCCTAATTAATAATTTGTAAGTTCAGAAATTTATGGGTATTCATTCGAATTAATGAAAATGAGCATTAATACATGTTCTAGTAAAGGTACATTCACTAGGCGATAACAGTAAAATGGGATGAAAATAGGATAAATAGCATCCCTATATAGTGCCTAACAATATTTATACGGGCCAAAAAAAATTTGGCTAGAGATTTGGCTAGTTAGAAAATTTAGAAAATTGAGAGGAATTTTTATTTTCGAATTTTTTTTGGAAAGTTAAAATTGTGATTAAAAATCGATTTCCGGGAGAACTAAGCATCTCATCATATATTTAAATCGATAAAATTATTAAATAATAGTTGAATAGTACAACTACATGAAATTGTGGCTGAATATACAGAAAAAATGAACATATTTGACATTTTTGAAAATTCATATAGTTAGATGGTGACAGACCCATAAACTATACTTTAGCTAAGAATGGTATATGATTTCAACAACACATGATTAAAATCGTAAAAATTTTTTAGATTTCAAACAGATATATGGTAATCTAATGGAACAGAGTCAGCAAATAGCATGTAAAATATGTTACAATTAACTTTTTATTATATCCAATAGTAAATATCGAATGGTATCCAGCTTTATGGTTAAATATTTTCTTATCGAGCTTCTCTTGAACTGTTGTATTAAGGTTGTAAATTTTTGATGCTAGGAACTTTGGAATCTTCTTTGCTGCAGCATTTTTCTTGAGAGTTCTTGCAATTTCGAATAGATCTGCGCATTATATGAAATGGGGGCTTTAAAATATCTTGAAAACAGAATAGGACTGCTTTTCCAAAGGAATGCTTACTTGTAAATCAGAGAGTTTCAAAATTGAGTACAAGATTATCATCATAACTTTTGATTTTGCTGCGTAAAAGGAAGACAAGGTATTAACAAATCATTTACTGTTGTTCATCAAAAGAAGAAAACTTTGATAACAACTAATGATGATAAAATCAAGCAATCTTTTAATATTTTAAATTGATAAGACATTCAAAATATTTGAATGGTTTAAAATATTTTCTTTTAATTTCTCTAATATATTATCATGATTATATAATCAAATTTAAATTTTTATTCAAAAAGGCAATATTTCAAATTTTTAATTTCAATAATCTTAATTCTGCAATAAATGTATTTAATTGCAGCAAATTTAATGATCTTTCGTTATGGTTAGCAATTTGGAACTCATAAATTAATGATTTCTTCAAGTAAAATTCTGCATTATTTCAAAAGTCAATAATTCTCTAGTAACTTTTCCCCAAACCCTAACCATTATATTATATGTGTAATAGAGAATAATTGCAAAAAAAGATGGCCGAATTTACTGGGTAGTTCTTGTGATGCGAAATAATTGGAATTTAACACCTAGTTTTAGCAGCATCATTCTCTTTTTGCTCTCATTTAAATGCTTTTGCACACTTTAATTTTGAAATATAAGAGTTTTGGAAATTATCAAATTTATCTGCTCAAATACTATAGATCTTCATAAGTGTTAATAGAATCGCCAGCCTTACATATAGTGTTTAATATAATGATGCACATCATACTGGGATTTATTCCTTATTCATCTAGTTATTATAAGATTTACAACCCCATGAAAATTTAAAATTTTGTCAAAAATAGTGAATGTACCTTTGTTCTAGTTAGATAATGAGATGTTAGTTTGATGTTAAATCCTAATCGATGCTAAAAACGACTTAAAAATAAGACAATAAGTCGAAATACTTGACGAATTTTCAATGAGCCGCCTCAAAAATTGAATTGCATTCAATTTAAAAGAGGTTAAAAATTGAAAATTCTTCAAGTATTTCATCATATGTCGGAAATTGAATGAAATTCAATTTCCGACATATGATGGGAAAATATTCACTTTTCTAATAATTCAAAAAAGTGACAACAATCACATCATCTGGCCACTTAGTTAGTTTTATCTTCGAAAAGGCAATAAATCGATAATTCATACCAAATCGACCTCAATTTATCATGTCAAACCAAGGAAAAAAATTTTGAAACAAGGTGTTCGGTTATAAATGGCCGGCCGCTTTTAATCATTTTTTTAGAAGATGTCTGCTGAAGTAGAAACACTTGAGTTCCAGGCCGAAATCAACCAGCTCATGTCTCTCATCATCAACGCTTTCTACACAAACAAGGAAATCTTCCTTCGTGAATTGATTTCCAACGCTTCCGATGCTTGCGACAAGATCCGTTACGAATCTCTCAAGAACCAAGAGGTCCTCGGCAAGCAGAAGGAACTCTTCATCCACATCCGCCCAGACAAGGAGAACCGTTGCCTCTCCATCATCGATTCTGGTATTGGTATGACAAAGTCACACCTCATCAACAACCTTGGTACAATCGCCCGCTCTGGTACCCGCCAGTTCATGCAGGCTATCGAGGAAGGCGCTGACCTTTCCCTCATCGGTCAATTCGGTGTCGGTTTCTTCTCTGCTTTCCTTGTCGCTGACCGTGTTGTTGTTACATCACACCACTCCGACGATGACCAGTACATCTGGGAATCAGAAGCAGGCAAGAACTTCACAATCCGCCGTGATCTCGAAGGTGAAGACCTCATCCGTGGTACACGTATCGATCTTTACCTCAAGGAAGACATGACAGAATTCCTTGAAGAGAAGAAGCTCAAGGAGCTCATCAAGAAGCACTCCGAGTTCATCCAGTACCCAATTTCTCTTTGGGTTGAGAAGACAAAGGAAGAGGAAGTCTCCGATGATGAAGCCGAGAAGAAGGAAGACGAGGAGAAGAAGGACGACGAGATCAAGGAAGTCGAAGACGAAGCCGAGAAGAAGGACGAAGAAAAGAAGAAGAAGAAAGTCACAATCGTCGAACACGAGTGGGAACTTGTCAACAAGAACAAGCCACTTTGGCTCCGCCCAACAAACGAGATCACAGAAGACGAATACGCCGAGTTCTACAAGTCCATCTCCAACGATTGGGAGAAGCACCTCGCTGTCAAGCACTTCCGTGTTGAAGGTGATATTGGCTTCACAGTCCTTCTCTTCGTTCCACGCCGTGCTCCATACGATCTCTTCGAGCCAAAGAAGAAGCTCAACAACATCAAGCTCTACGTCCGCCGTGTCTTCGTTATGGACAACTGCGAGGACCTCATCCCAGAGTGGCTCAACTTCATGAAGGGTGTCGTTGATTCTGATGATTTACCACTCAACATTTCCAGAGAAACACTCCAGCAGAACAGAATCATCAAGCTCATCCGCAAGAACATCATCAAGAAGTGCTTAGAGCTCTTCAACGAGATCGCCGAGAAGAAGGAAGATTTCAAGATCTTCTACGAACAGTTCTCAAAGAACATCAAGCTCGGCATCCACGAGGACACACAGAACAGACCAAAGCTTGCCAAGTTACTCCGCTTCTACTCCACACAGTCAACAGAGGAACTCACATCTCTTGATGAGTACATCGAGAGAATGAAGGAGGGACAGAAGGGCATCTACTGGATCTCCGGCGAAACAAAGGAGGCAGTCATGAACTCTCCAATGCTCGAAGTCTTCCGCCAGAAGGGTATCGAAGTTCTCTTCTTAATCGACCCAATCGATGAATACTGCTTCCAGCAGTTGAACGAGTACTCCGATCACAAGTTGATGTGCATCACAAAGGAGAACTGCGAAATCGACGAGACAGAAGACGAGAAGAAGCAGTACGAGGACCTCAAGGCCAAGCTCGAACCAATGTTCACAAAGATCAAGGACTTGATCGGCAAGGACTGCGAGAAGGTCGTCCTCTCAAAGAGATTGGTTGTCACACCATGCGTCATTGTCACAGGTGAGTACGGCTATACAGCTAACTTCCAGAGATTGATGAACGCTCAGGCACTCAGAGATAACACAATGTCACAGTACATGCAGGCAAAGAAGACACTCGAAATCAACGGAAAGCACCCAGTCGTTACAAAGCTCGTCGACATGCTCGAGAAGGATGAGACAGACAAGAACGCTAAGGAGATGCTCTCAATGCTTTGGGACACAGCTCAGCTCGCTTCTGGCTTCACACTCGCTAACCCAGCTGCTTTCTCTGCTAGAATCAACCGTATGGTTGCTGTCGCTTTAGATGTCACCGGCCAACTCAAGGAGTTACCACCACTCGTCGAAGAGAAGCCAAAGGTTGAAGAGGCTAAGGAAGGTGAAGCTGCTCCAGCTGCTGACTCTGCTGACCTTAACAAGTTTGATGATGTCGATTAAATTTGCTTTCAATAAAGGTTTTTTGATTTAGAAATTTTAATAATTTTTAGATAACTTTTTTTAATGAAAAGGAATGATTATTTTTGAATTTGATTTGTCTTGACTGTGTTTAAGTGGCCATTACTCATGCAGCAGATTGTTGCATAGCTATACATTTATTTGGATACGTTAAACAGAGTAATTACTTGTAAATACAGTTAGAATTTGGTATTTGTACAATAAAAAACCTGAAAAATATCAAATGTATTTCATCACAATAACCCAAAAGTTGAAATATTCTAACATTGTATATCTTGAAAGAGAGTTAAAGAATTAAGTAGAGTGGATTAATTCTAATATTTAAAAATATCCATAACGATAAAGGATAATTGAACCTACAAATAATAGGAATTTATCATTTCTAGATGTAAAAAGGTCAAAATCAACTAAAAACTGAAAATAAAAATTAAATAATTGAAATCAAATTTTATTTAGTCATAAAAACATACCAAGCATGTAAAAACAGTAAGTACTGAAGTAAATTTAATGTTTTTATTCGGGTTGTTAAGAAGTTAAGTCTGTAATACCGGCATCTGAAAGTTCATAAGATGCTTCAGCTTCAGGCAAAGAAGGAGAATCGTAGATCTTCGCGACTCTTTCCGCCCCTTTTCCTTTCCTCAAGTAAAGTCTCGTTGTCGAAGCGTGTGCGAGGATATGTCCTCCGATTGGCTTCGGCGCCTGGACGAACAAGGCTGAGTCTGGGGAGGCCATGACCTGGTTGGTAATGAAGATCGCGATGTTGAATTCCGAAGCGAGTTTGGTCAGAGCTGCCATCATTTGGCCCAATGTTTGTTGTCTTTCAGCGAGTTCGCCTCTTCCGCTGAAATCGACTCTGAAGAGAGCTGTAATTGAGTCAATGATGAGGAGCCTGTATTGGTCTTCGGCCATTTGGGCGGCTGCGGCCTGAATCAGCTGCATTTGCTGCTCATGAGTGAAAGCTCGAGCGTAAAGGATGTTTTCGAGGGCCTCATCACCATCTACGCCGAATCTCTGAGCAATGACTGGTATTCTTTCTGGGCGAAAAGTTCCTTCTGTGTCGATGAAGCAAACTTTTCCTTGGCCACCGCTTTGGGAGAGGGGAAGTTGGGCTGTAACGCATAGGGTATGGCAGAGCTGTGTCTTGCCGGTACGGAACTCTCCGAAAACCTCGGTAATGGACATGGATTCGACTCCTCCACCGAGAAGCTTGTCCAATTCGGTACTTCCGGATGTAATTCGTATTACTTTGGATCTATTCTTGAGGCATGTAGCACCGCTGATGAAAGTAAAGCTCTCTGATTCGAGGCTTTGAGCTGCTGCGATCAATTTGTCGACTTTGGCATCGGATATGCCCTTGACGTTGGCCAGGTGCTTCTTGGTTTCCATCAGGACTGCGCCAACTGTGCAGATTCCGGCCTCTTTCAGCTTCTTGATGTCTGCAATGTTGATTCCAGCTTGCTGGAGCTTCTCTATTGAGTCATAGGACTGCTGGATCTCCTCTGACTCCTCAACATCGGGAGCGCGAGTACGTGATGACGACATGTTGTGAATCTAATCAAGGCGTGATGTTGTCATTCATCGCATCAAATTGTCACTTTTTCATCTTCGAAATTTTGGTCTTTCAAAACATTAAATTTGATTTTGATTTATGCCTGTATTTTATTTGATTGCACAAAAATACTTCTATCTATATTTTACATTGTCAAATCTTCAAATCAGTCAACAAACTCATAAAGTAGATAACGTATCTACTTTGTAGAGGAATCATACTAACAAAATTTATGCTCGTGGACCCTAAAACATCAAAATTCTAAAATTCTATCAGATAGAATAAGAAACTGTATAAAAATCTTATTACCTTCTACTTTGCTACTCTTTGTGTTGCATCAATTTTTAATAGTAAACAAGCAGTTGAACTTTTTCTGTCACATGGTGCAAATATCAATGAAAAAGATGAATTTAGAAAAACTATTCTTCATATTGCTATAAAATTTCATCGTAAAGAACTCACCAAACTTCTTCCTTCATATGATGCAAATAAATAAAGCTTAATCATAAAAATTTCTCTTTCTTCTTCTGATATGAGCCCAAAAATTGTGAATTATGAATCTGTACATCCTTAAAGGCGACATCATATACTTTTAAGATATATTTTGAAATTTGAAATCATTGGATTTTTACATTTTGGAGAAAATATTATTAAAAAAATAATATATTAAAAAATACTTTTTTAGACATTCATTGGAGATTCTTCGAACTTTTCGTGTTCTTGAGACTTATCTCTGAACACGAACCAATATACTGCGAAGCATACAGCAGCAACAACAACAATTACTGCAATAACAATACCGACAATGAGTCCAACTTTCTTCTTCGATGAAGAAGTAGTAGATTCCTTGTTGATTTCGATGTTGAGGTTAGAAACAGTGACAACATTTCCTTCTCTCTTTATGTCACCACCTGTATGAAGTTTTTCTGATTCTGGTAATCCATAGATCTTCAAACTCTTGATTGTCTTTGTGTAATTTGTAGATCTCGATGGTCTTACACTTAATTTTCCATCAGTGAAGTTGACTTCTGCCAAAACAAATCCACCATGTAAGTAATCGAATGATTCACCATCATCGAAGTAGATATATCCTTTGGCAGTCAAGTTCTCGTCAAGCGCAATATGTAACAGCAAATCTTCTTTCATCTGCTCTTTGACATTCATCTTTGAATTAACAAAAGAAGGTGTAATATATCCACCTCTCAAATAAACAGGAATTGAATCAAAATTGACGTAAATATTCTTTGTTTCAGTCAATTCTTCACCGTTTTCGAATGAATACCATTTTCCTGGTGGTTTAACAATAAGTAATGAATCCATATTTTGATAAACAACAGGGCAAGCCATTAAACTTTCACCAACAATTGCTTGGAATCTAACATCATGAAGATTTTCAACTTCAGGGTAATAATACCAAAGAGGAGCAACTAAAGGTGAAGAGCTTGTTGTGTGTTTATAAGCAGCAGCGTACCAAAGCGGGATCAATTTATATCTTTGTTCTGTTACTTTCTTCATTATATCAAACAATTGAGTTCCCTTGAAGAGATATGGTTCTCTGTATTCACAGTTTATTGCTGCGTGTTGGCGATAGAAAGGATACAAGAAAGCAGCTGCTTGGAACCATCTTCCATGTAATTGGTCAGTTGTATTTCCTGTAAATCCACCAATGTCTGATCCTGTGTATGGACAGCCATTGAGATTTGCTGTGATAAGAATATCAATGGACAATCTCAAATGTTCCCAGGAAGCATCGTTGACGCCTGACCAATGCCATGTATATTTCTGTGATCCGGCAAAGAAAGATCTTGTTAAAATAAATGGTCTTCTCTTGTTGTTATCTCTTTGTAACAAGCCTTTGTATGTACCAGCAGTCATGAACAATCCATAGCTGTTGTGGGTCTCTCTGGATTCAATCGTGTTATGCATGTGTTGCCAATCTTTGTGGTTCGTGCCTTCAATGCGTTGGAAAACAGCAATTTCGTTCATATCGTTCCAAATATAAACATTGTCGCCCCACTCGTTCTTGAACTTGTCGTAACTATAAAGACCTGACCATCAGTCTCTGACATCACTTCTGAAAAAGTCCGGCCAACTTGAATTGCCAGGCCAGCAAGGAGCGATGGCCTGATTTCCTTGATTATCGGTAATGAAGAATCCTTTGGCAAGAGCTTCGGTATATGGAATATGCTCTGGATCTGTTGGTAAATGGGGATCAGTAATTCTGATCAAATAGCGGTTTTTGGACTTAAGATCGGAAATGAACTTCGGAAGATCGATGAACCATGAGTAGTTAACGGCAAATGGAGCAAAGTTCTTAAGGTGATCGATGTCTAACCATATGACATCTAATGGGAACTCTACTTTCTCGAGATTGTCAATTACTTCGCGAACTTTCTGTTCGTTTGGATATCCGTACTTTGATTCGTGATAACCAAAGGCAAATGCAGGTGGAAGTGGTGCATGGCCTGTGATATGTTCGTATTGAGATAAAACTTGTGGCATCTTTTCCATAAAGACAACTAAATCGACGTAGCCGCCTTCGGAAATGAATTTGGCGATTCTCTTGTCGCTTTTCGTGTTGATTTGGATGTACATATCAGAAGGATTCATCCAAAAGACTGTAGGGTTGATTTCGAAGTCTGCACAGTGGCCAGAAAGTAATGGAATGAAGCCGTACATTGCATAATTGTCACGTGCATATCTTCTTTCGGCACTGCCAAATGTATCTTCGAGATTTGCTGGATATGTACCTTCTGAAAAGCCTGTAAGACGTGCATTAGCTGATAAATATGAGATATCTACGCCAATAGCTGTCTTACCATGCTTGTGAGTTTCGATATAGCCGTCATAAGTTGTATCTGGTGTTGCTGAGCCATCTTCAACGAACATGAAGTTCTCAGAGTTGATTGTTATGTACTGCTCGCCGTATTTCGAGAAGGTGATGGATAATGGATTAAAACTGACAATAACTTTGGTGTCTTCGTTATCTTGTAATGTATCAAAGACTTTTCCAGCTGTCCTGTTAAGTGTGTCTTTACGGTTGAGCTTCGTGGAATTGACACTGATGTCATCATGGGTGATATCAAAACGATAACTTGAAAGATCAGTACCTGGATTAATACGTACACGGATACCAGAATTTTCTATCTTATAAATTTCAAGTGTATATGGTGTCTGCTCTCCATTCTGCTTAATACTTACAGAATATAAATTATTTTCAAGTTTGATGGTCGATGTATCAAGGGATAGTACTGAATGTGAAGCGTTAATATTATCTGCGCAAAATCTGATCTGCTCGCATGTTCTATAAACGTATTGGATGAGGAAAAATACAATCATTATTCACTTTTGTCACATTTTATCAATTTCCGGTAGATACACATATAAAATCAATACTCTTTTTTTATAAATATTTAGCTTAATCTTCTCATTATAATTTTATTATTAACGATGAATGTTGTTCACAAAAATTCGTGTAAAGTATTTTTGAGAAACCTCATTCAAAAAATTAAAAGAGAGTCAACTCTCAGAAACATCGATAAATCAACCCCATTTCTGAGAAATTATGCATAACATATCCATGGTATTTAAATACATATAAAAACTGTTAAATATAATCAAAATTTGTGTCCAATAATTTCCATTTCATGGTTTCGAGAAATAAGGAAAAAGAGATTGATAGTTTATTTATTTTGCAAGTGCACTCAATTTCCAAATTGATTCAATGCATTATATTTATGGAATCTTTTTCCAAATATCATAATCTTCATGTCAGAGATTAGTATTGTTTTCACAAATATTCCTATGAAGACATATCAATTTGTAATTGTGGTGTAATAAGCAAATGATTAAGTCAAAACAGGCAGACTTAATACGACTAATAGGTCTTAGCCAACTAACTATCTCCAATTAATACCCAATAATAGTAGTACTTGAAATGACTAATTTCACTGAAACAGAATCTATATTTTTTGCTTTGAAATATTATTCTAACTTTCTATAGGTATTAATAGAAAATAGATTCCTCTATATCCATTGTTTTTCGTTGTTATACTATGCTGATTTTGATATTATCAATATGCATGAGCTGATATCCAAATCTTACAATGATGAGTATTTGCTTCAGAAAATTGCATAAAATAGAAACTGTGTGAAGGGAAAAAGCTTATATGAACCGTACACTTACTGATGCAATTTTTTTATTCGTTCATAATTGATGTTTGCCTAAAAACAAGATTGAAATATGTTTGGATATTAATATCTATGTAGAAATGGCTATTAAAAATAGTAGTCCATTATGCCATGCATGGATATGTAAAAAAGTGACAGGGCCTTTCCCTTGAATGGCTGACCAGGCTGTCATCATCAAGTGCCGCGTTTGGGGCGGTGAAACTGGCGTTACATCCAAGCTTGCACCAAAGCTCGGTCCTCTCGGTGTTCCAGCACCAAAAGTTGCTCAGGAAGTCGCTAAGGCTACTGAGAAGTACAAAGGATTCCGTGCTACAGTTAAGATTACAGTTCAGAACCGTGAGTTCAAGGTTGAAGTTGAAAACTCAACATCAACACTCCTCATTGCTGCTCTCAATGAACCACATCGTGATCGTAAGAAAGTAAAGGCTGTCAAGCACTCTGGCTCCCTTTCCCTTGATACAATCATCGATATCGCTCGTACAATGAGACCAAAGTCCTGTGCTCGTAAGCTCGCTGGTACAGTCAAGGAAGTTCTTGGCACAGCTCAGGCTATGGGTGCTCATGTTGATGGCATGGATCCAAAGGAAGTTCAGAAGAAGATCGCCTCTGGTGAAATCCCAATCCCAGAACAGTAAAATACAATATTTATCTCTGATCCAAATTCTCAAAAATTTCAACTATTTTTTCTACTATTATAAGCTCCACATCTTATAGCAAGATCTCAAAAAAAAAAGATTAAATATTATAATATTATATGAGATCTTTGTATAAGATGTGGAATTTTAACTGAAAATCTTTGTATATGCAGTTGAGATTGTATAGTTTTGAAGATATACTACAACCTGTATACGGGAGTATTAAAAATAAAAGGGATGTTTCCAAGACTTCCTTTTTTTATTCTAAAGTAAAAAAGCGAATTCTTTTTTGTAAGGATTCTCTGAAGCAGCGAACGCTCCGTCGAGTTCATCGATGCGCTCCAGTATTGTATTTAGATCGTTTTCAAGATTCAACATCTCTGGTGATTTTTCGTGCCTTTCTGCAGTAACTCCTAACATTGTAGGTGACTCAAGACCTGATTGACTTTCGGAAGAATAATCGAAATTATCGCTGTAAAACTCTTCGTCTTCTTGACTTGATATGCAAGCATATGTATTTTCTAGTCTTTCTATGACGCTATTTAATCTCATTAAAGCTCTTGACGACATGAATAAAACCTGAACAGTTTATTCATTCAGCGCATCAATTGACACTTTTGAAGCAAGGGATGATCAAGGAAACGCGGTTTTGAGGAAAACGCCGAGAGTTATTGATTTAATTAGAGAAGTCTATTGTATCCATACCATTGATATTTGTAAAATTATGCTTAATGTCTAAAAACTTCTTTGAATGAGGGTATTAGTTAATATTCAAACAATTTGAATGGTTTGAAATGTATATATGATGTGATTATTATCAAATGTTTTGATATGAAGCAATAATCGATAGAAATATAATCAAAATGATTTTTTACATTGAAGAAAAGAAATTTAAATGATAACGTTAATATTAATGTAAATATTTAGAGAAAAATATCGATATTAAATTTTGAAATTTTTCCAAAATTTGAAGAAAAATCAAGAAAGAAAATATGTAGAGATTAATTGTTAAATTCAAGTTTTCAAAAAAATTTTGGAAAAAATCGGAAAGACATTGCGGTACCTACATCAGACGAAACACTAAAATTACTAAGAATTTTACGTTCTCTTCGATTTTTCGAATTGGCGAAATCAAAAAGTTGATATTTTCAAAACATTTCTTGTAAGACAATGATATATGTAACACATCAATAAATTTTTTCATAATGAATTTGACTAAATCTCGTAAATTGAACTTGGATAAATCGGTGAAAAAATGTTGATTAAAAAAGTATCGTATAATAGATCATATGCAAAATAACACGTCGGAATTTCGGTTATTTTGAAAAGAAACTTTTTAAATAGTTTATTTTTGGCTGTCAAAAAATCTAAGATATTCATAATATTTTTAATAAATATATTAAATGGAATTATATATACTAAAATCATTCTATCGTCTTAACTCTTTTGTGAGCTTAATATAAAGTGAAAAAGGTAAACAATTTTGATTAATTATGATTTACAAAATTATTCTATGCATTAATTTATAAATCCATAAATCACTCACAATTTTTCCAATGGACAACTGGCCACTAGATTCTGAGAAATTGAGAGACACATCCAAATTTATAAATCAGTTCATTTTTAAACAAAGATGTTCGGCTACAACAACCTCCTCCGTGAAGCAGAGTTCGATGACCTCCTTTACGCTAACATTCAGTTACCATCACACCGTTCAGAAGAGGATTTCGAAGAACAATCCCTTGACAGCGCTGCCTCTTCATTTGTTGATGATTTCCCAACACAGGCCGAAGTAGACTCAGAAAGACCAGTCGAAGAGCTTACAAACTCTCCATATTTTGTTTAAGAAATTTTTATTGTATTAATCTATCATTCTCGATTCTTAATCTACTGTAAATAAACAAACTATCTATTAAAATTGCTATCTATTTAAAAATATATAATTTTTTAAATTAAATCAAATCCATAAAACTCCTAACGTTCTCATTTGTTAGGAAAACTCTTATTTCTTCCAAGTTTTACACATTAATTAATAATACTTCTCAATAATTATAAAATGAATTTTTCGATTTTATTCTTACATAATTTATCATTCAAATTTAACTTAGAATAAGGGTTTCGTTTTGCGAAAAAAACGTACAATACGCAATTTCGCTAAAAAACATTTAGCTAGCAATTTCGACCTTTGACTCCACTCAAGACGTCACTTTTTTAATTTTGCGGTATCATATTTTTGGAAAATCTTTATGAATATTATATAAAAAGTCTCTTTAATATCTATATTTCATATTTTTATCGATTTTTAAAGTTTTTGCGAAAAGTATTCAATTATTTTTGCTATTTGGTCGGGTAAATGTCAGATTTGCGACATTTTCTGATATGATATTCAGATTCTACGTTGATAATAATGCTTATAGAACCCTCTTGCTATTGTGTCAAAATTGCGAAACCGATAGCAAAAATATCTCGCAATATCAAAATTGAGATATTGAGTGAATTATGCATTATAGAGATTAAAAATCTGATTTGTGAAAACATCTCATCAGTTTCTAGCTAATTCAAAAATCTTTACTATCTTATTCGATTAAAATGAAAAGGGAATAGTTTCATTATGCTTTAAATGACAGCCTTATAATATAATCATAGTTTTCGCTCAATATGCAGCATTTTTTTTTTCGAAATCTATGGTCAATATCCTAAATACTGATTGCTTTGCATTCATATCTCTTACATTTTCTATACCCATATCACTATTCATTGCTATTCCTATCTTTTTCATTTTTGTTTGTTTCTCATAATTTCTCAAAAAACATGATAACTTGATATTTGTAAATATCATACTTTATAACGTAAATAAGAACTTGACCTATTAAGAAAAGCAGTAATGAAAAGAAAATCTGAAATTCATAAAAATTACAAGTTTCTGATGACAATTAGCTTAATTAAACCAGGTACAAGATTATATAATTGTATTTTATATCCAATTATCCATATAATATCTTATCCAGAAAAAAAAACTTGATCAATACCAAATGATTTTTTAACTAGTAAATAAAGTATTTTCTTTACACACACATTGTATATCATAGTTTTTTTTTTTTTTGGTTTCGCAAAACATCCAAAAACAAACATGCTATAAAAGTGACAATTTTAGCAAAACGAAACCCTTACTAAAATAAAGATATAACCATTTCACAAGGAGAGAATTCAATTTTTTGTTAACCGCGTAAAATCATAAAGGATTGTAATTTTGTTTATTATATTATTCTCCTATTGTTTTTCAAAATATTTTATATAAATTCACAATATTCTTTTCAATTCCTCTCAATACACTTTTGATAATCTGTAAAATCATGTTGGTAAAATTATAATGCATGATATGTTCGCAGCAAATTTCATTAAGTTTCTTAATAAAATTTATGAGGATTGAAATTTTTGAATAGGTGGCTCATTTTGTTATAATGAATAACAGTGAAATTGAGTTCTTCCAGCAACATGGCTTGACATTCAGAAATGTCATAGGGGAAGGCTCATTTGGAAAACTCTTTCTTGTTTATTCATCCCATTATGATCAATGTTTTGCATTGAAGAAGATACCACAACTTTCATTCCATGAGAATGAAATCGAGTGCTTAAAGCATATCTGCCAGAAGAACATCATTAATCTATATAACTATTATAGATTTGATGGTCATGTTTATTTGCTGATGGAATATTGTCCAAATGACTTGAATTTATTAATACATCAAGACAAGGAGATTGATCCAGAGTTACTTAGAGTTTATATTTATGATATTCTTCAGGCAATCAAGACCTGCCATGATAACAACATTGCTCACCAGGATATCAAGCCAAGCAACTTCTTAATTGATAAGTATGGTAGAATCAAGGTATGCGACTTTGGTTTGTCTAATATCTATGAGGATAATCCAACCTGCAACACATTTAAAGGCACTATGCTTTTCATGGCTCCAGAACTCTTCAGAAAGAAGGAATATAATGCCATGAAAGCTGATATATGGGCCCTTGGAGTCACATTCTTCTGCATGGCAACCAAGACATATCCATTTTACTGCACAAATAAACAAAATTACATCAAGATTCTGAACACAGGAATCTTCCCTCACTATAAAGTTGCAAGTCCATCGCTTAGGGAAGTGATTATCCACTGTTTGGATTTAAATCCAGAGACAAGAGCAACAGTTGACGAACTCTTAAAGTTAGCATATTTTGACCAAATGAGATATCATAACCCATTAGAAACAAAAGATATCGGAAAAACTCAATCCCTCAATGCAATAATTTTTAAACCACTGTTGAAGAGATCAATGAAATTAACAGAGAGAAGTACAGTCACATCGTTAAGAAAGAAGATCCCCATCGAATTACTCAAGCATTCGAGTGTATATTAATTATGTAAAATTTGTTTGTATATTCCATGAATTTGATTCTTATTTTTCTTTTCCTTTTGAATACGAAAATTACTCTTGGCGCACTTAACATCTGTATTGATAGTGTATTAGTTTTTTATTGAAAGATCTCCTTAATTTCAACTTCAACCTCAAAACAATACGATCTCAAGAAACTTGATGTATTGAAATCTCAAAAAGAAAAACGTTTTAGTTATGAAGTCAACATGATAATTTTATTGAATTTGAGGAGAAATATAAATATTTTTCAATAATTTATATTATTCAGAGTCTCCATCCGTAATTTACATTTATACAAACAAAATCATAGGTAAAGGCTGAGATAAAACTAGTCTGTGATCCGAAAATATGAAATAATCTCAAGATCAGTTCCGGCAAAGGTCAAATTATTAATCATCTCTTGGTATTAAGCAGGGATTTTGGTCTAAGTCTCTTACTGGAGACAAATGAGTGCTTGTTATCGAATATAGATTTTTCTGAACTTGCGTTTGGTTTCAAGATCAATTTGCAATGGTTTGTAGAAGCAATTGCATGGATACCAACACCTTTAATGGAATTACTGGCGAAATAAGGCATTGCCAATATTTCTTCACAGGTTGGACGTTGTGATGGATCCACCTGGAGGCATTTCATAATGATTCTTCTAAGATTAGGATTCTTTACAGCGAAGATTGGGTAGTTACCATTGTCAATTAGCTTCAAAATGAGATCGGGATGTGATGCAATAAATGGATACGTTTTTGTTGCCATATAGAACATGGTTACACCAAGAGACCAAATATCAGCTTTTATTGGATTATACTCTGTTCTTCTAAGTTGTTCTGGGGCCATGAAAAATAGAGTTCCTTTATAAGATTTACTTAACGAATCTTCTTCATGAATCATTGAGAGACCAAAATCACATACTTTTACTCTTCCATACTTGTCCAAAAGGAAGTTTGAAGGCTTGATATCATTATGCGCGATTTTATAATCGTGACAAGCCTTTATTGAGAGAACCATTTCTTGAATGTACTTCCGGAGTTTTTCTGGTTCTATATCTTCATTTTCTTTTACATATTGATAGAGATCTGAAGGGCAATACTCCATCAATAAGAAAACATGTTCACCAAGTTCAAAATAGCTATAAAGTCTTACTATATTGTTATTATCAATGGACTGAAGCACATCAATTTCAGTACGGTTGAAGAACTTGGATTCTATTTTCTTCATTGCAAAATGCATTTTATATTGTTCGCTATAGACTAAGAATATTTCTCCGAAACCACCCACTGCAATGGATTGTTCAATATTCATTTTTTGCTGCTTGAAGAATTCAAGCTCGCTTGGGTTCATATATTAGATTTTACTTTGAAAAATTTAATCAAATAACTATTCAATTTTGTTTTTTAAATTTTTGTTGTGTAAAAATATTTAAATCGATAGTTGGTAATAGGAAAATGAATTCACAAATAATGTGAACGTTATAGTATCTCTGAAAAGCTATTGAGAGTTTTGATTAGGCTCAACCATTTATAAAAAAAGTTTGTTAAAATAATAGAAGTAATGTAATTACATGATTTTATAATTTGGTCGATGATTATAAAAAAGGAGAATTTTAATTATAACTAGATTGTAAGAAAAATACATTTCGTCTTTCTAAAAGATTTGAAAGAACTTTTGAAAAGATTCAAAGACGTTCACAAAAATTAATAAACCTCTAAATCAAGATTTTATTTGAACATTTTGAGAATAAAGCAATTCAATTATGAAGAGGGATTTGAATATGGTTAACTATATTCGGGAATAATTCATATTAATCATAGAAAGGTTATTAATCAGGTGTCAAATATATGGAGTTTACTAAAATAATTAATGAAGAAATATGCATTAATATTGGATAAGTAAGTTTTTACAATTCGATTATCTAACGTAAATGACTTTTGGATTTGAAAAAAATTGAATTTTATTCAAAATATTAATGAGAAAATAATGTAGGACATCATGTGTACATTCGAATTTTATAGAACATTTATGGTTCGATTATCTCATAGAGGTAGGGCAATGATAGAAAATTTTTGGAAAAAAAGTTCGGAGATCTTAAACGTATCATATTCCCTGCATGGTTTGGTATCTTCCGCCATGCGTTGTGCCAAACATATTGACACTTTCCAATAATTAATTTATGGTATGAGTCACAGAGTTAGATTATAAAAAGAAAGTAAATAATTGCAATTAGAAATCATATATGTCGGAAATCAAATGTTGATGAGCAGAAACCTTTTACTCATCATAAAAGAGATAAATCACTAAAGATTTGTATACATTAAAATTTGATATTTGGTGCTCGAAAACTGTCTGATGGGACTCCTCCAAAATGAACCAATCTATCGCTGAGGACCAAATTAGATGATGTGGATGGTGTATTCTCTAATTCTAACTTAGGAAGAATGGGAACAAAACGAATGACGACAACAACATGTCAAACATAGATTAAATATCTATGAATCAATAAAGTATACGTGCATTGAAGGTGATAACGATCACTTGAGGCTTATAACTCTTTGACTAAATTATGCAATAATTAATATAATCATTTTTATATTTTATACTGATAGTAATTAATATACTATCCTGCTTAATAAATGGTATGATCAAATTTGTTTGAAAATTTAATTATGTATATGAAACTATGTCTTCTATATAAAATCAAAATTTTCTAACGAACCTAGATTGAACCTTTATGAAAATCTATCATTTTTGTTAATTGAGTTAATATGAATCTTTTACATATGTATATATAGCATTGATAGCTTATATAATCATGGTTTATTCCATATTAACATATTTTTTCAGTTAAATTTGTTAATAATATCATGTAACAAATTAATTCAAGATTAGAATGTCTACAAAATGCTAACAAATAAGAACAAAATACGATTTCTCGACTTAAATTTTAATATGGAGTAGTTTTTCGTTTAAATCTAATTAAAAATGAATAAAAACTTATCTTGTACTATTTTCATTCAAGATTTTAATAATGTAAATCATGCATTTTCATAATTCAGTACAGTTCTTTTTAGAATTAAAGTTGATGAGGATGATATTTGTGATTTAAAATAATTTGTTAATGTTCACCTTTTATTCATCACCTTGTGGTATGCCCTAAAGCAATAGCATTATCAATTCTGCTGAATTGATCAACTCAAAATTCCAAAAAAAATTCAAAATTTCAAAAATGAAATTAAACAATTTGAATTTTCACATGAAAAAATCAATTTCGAAAAAAATTTGGAAAATCAAAGTATTTGATAATTAGTCAAATAATCAATTTACATCGTTTTTACTCATAAAAAACAACTAATTTTTGATTTTGATATCATATTTGATAAATACTCATTCCAGAGTTGACGTAATGTATTAATTATTGTTAGAGATATTGCTTTCGCAGCAAAATTCTTATTTCATGAAAGAAAAAAAAAAATGATTTTATTCCAACAAAAACAAGTAAACAGATGAATGGAAACGTACTATATTTCAAATGTAGTAATCAGCGTGTCGGCTTTTGTTTATCATGTCGAGTCAAAATGTATTAACTTGTAATAAGAAATATTCGAAGATTATATGAAGTATTGAGCATTCTTTGTAGAAATATTTGTAATTCATTACTAACATATATAATAAAGTTGTTTTTTTTTCCTTATTGCAATAATTTTGTCTGATTTTAATAACTTTTCATGTATACGAGTTGTGTGAATATGCATCATAATATGCGTAAATATACTTATTTGTGACGAATAATGTGGTTGCATAATGGAGGTGCTAAATTTTGATTTTTAATATGGGGCTTTGGTATGTATAATCATGTTCTTATCTCAACGTAGGAGTATTGGTGCAATATGATTAAAATTTACGAGGTTGATCTTAAATTGAATAATTCTGGAGTATAAATCACAATGCAGCTAATTCTATGTTAAAGATAGATACAGATTGTAGTAATCAATTAGGGAGTACAAATTTATTCTTTCATTTCTGTCGTATTGAGCAGAAAGGAAGAGATCATAACCCTAGGAAAAAAGCCCAAATTTGTCACTTTTCATAGTACGTTAAACTCAATTCGCTCGGCGAATGCCGAGCACACGTACTCATCATTCAACATAATATTCTCATTCTTTGGTTATTATAGTGCCAGACAACACAAGATTTCAAAGAATTACTTGAGTTTTCAATTAATCTTAATCCGATTTTAGATTTATCGAGAACTCCATCATCACAATCACATACTTCAGTGCGGTAACTACAATTATCCATATACAGAAGGAAGTTCTTTTCGAACAACTCATTTGGAGTCTGTTTTGGAAAGAACTTCTTTCTGTCCGACTTAATTTCATAGTTCCTGATCAACCAAAAGACAGAAACCACACACTATCTACTTAGGAAAGGAGTTCTTTCTAAATCTTCCTTAAATTGAGATTTTACGAGAGATAACCCTTCTATTGCACTTAAAAATGAACATTTTGATATCTTTAGTATCACACATGGTCATATATAGTATTTCATCTACATGAATACATTCATCTTTCGAAGTCTCTCATTAAATGGGAGGCTTCGAAAGATGAATCGTTTTATTCATACAACTTTAAATCTCGAACACATTTAGAGAGTGAGTATATCATTTTATTCTTGTTTTGAGTTTATTCTGATTCAAAATTGCAGTGAAAACAGAAGTTCACACATCATATCTGAATGTGAGCTCATCTATACTTATACGATCTCAATACCTCCACTCTAAGCATAAGAGGTGAAGTTATATAAAAATTATCAGATGCGTTGAAGTCTCAAAAGTATTGCCTGAATGCTTGTTTAATATTTGACCAAGTAGTTTCAATGAATAAATGTATTGTTTTTTATAATTTCGATTTATTTTTAGAAAATATTCAATATAAACCTTTATTGTGTTATTTACATCTCATAAATTCTCTGTCTAAATCATATAAAAGCGCGTTTTACCCCTATGAATCAAGAAATTCATTCAATATTCATGGTATATTTATTAAATTTATACGATTTACTAATAATCAATATTATATCCTCATAAATAGCAATATATTTTGGTAATCTATGATAATCATATACAATATTTGAAATCAAATTTTCATTAGTTTAGGTTCCTTGTTAATAGTAAACCATTATATTTATTACTAATAATAAAATCTATGTGTCGTATTGAAATTCAATAAAATTACTTATTCGGTCCAAAAAAACAAATTAGATAAAATTTTTCTTTTTTTATATAATTTTTGTTTTTCATTTTTCTCAAGATCCTAAGTTATGTTCTAACTTTTGACATCATATCCTATCATGCTAGGCTATATATTATAGCATATCCAAAAGGCAAGGAAATCTATCAGAGAAGCCTTTTTGACCTATCGTTGCCCTACCTCTTATCTCATTTCAAAATTATAAAAATTGAATATAGTTCTTTAAAAATTTCATCATTTTAAAGGAAATATATTATTAAGATATTTTTAATATTCGGAGAACGCTCAACCGCTAAATTTTTATAAGATCGAAATTCCAATTTTACTAATAGATATTTATTCTACAAAATTAAATTTAAATTAAAAAATAATTGAGTCTCATCACACTTTTCAATGCTCGATTTTTAAAAACTGTTTAAAAATGGAGCTTATATTGAAATAGTGTAGAGACTAAAAATTACCACAGACTATTTCAGAGGATTGAGTTGCCACTCAATCCTCTGAAAAGTCTGAGGTAATTTGCAAAAATTAAAAATAATTGAATTCAATTTTTTATACCGTTAATCGAATATATATATTTTCTATATTATTGAGTTCCTGATTATAAAATTTTATTTAAAGATTCAATTGTCAGCTTATATCGGCGCGCAGCGAAGCTGCGCGCCGATAGAACGCGCTATATATAATACAAACTTGCTGCACTTTTTTCGCCGTCTTTAATTAAATCAAATTAGCTATCTAAATTTCATATTTTTGTGACTTATTTTTGACTATTTTCGGTTGCAATTTTTAATCGTTTTTAAACTAATATCATATATCAATTTTAGTTATATTGTACTGTGGATTGATCCATTTAAATCGCCGAAAATTCAATGATCAAATAATTTCAATAATAAATCATGTTCAAAATTCGATTCTAAGCAGTTAATTTTATTCTTTATCCTATGAGATATCATGTTCAAAATATATGAATTAATTTCATAAATCGCTTCGAAATGCTGGACTGCTTGTTAATTATTTTATCAAACATTACTTTATTGATTATCTTCATCATATAACTTATTACATTCATTTTTTTAGATGAGCTCACTTGTT